AGATTGACATTGACTTCGATAACAACCTTGCAGTAAAAATATTCGGAGGACATGTCAATATGGCAATTCATATTCGGGAAATTGAAAAATCAGGAATTTGGAATACTCGGGAATACTCCAAAACCATTTCGGACCGGTCTTCATATCTATACAATAGAAGTATAATCATATTGATTCACCCACTCAAACCTTGTCGAAATTAAAGTTTCATATTCAAAGGCAAGACACTTTATACTTTTATTATTCACTTGTCCATTACTGTTTTATATACCTTGGCAGCGGTTGCTATCAACAGACCCTTATTGTTTTTTTCTGTAGTTCATAAAATTGCATACCAATTCTTGAAAGTACGCCAATAACACGGTTCCATTTATGGCGATAATTTCATCTTTCAACTTCCATTAATAAAATACTTCATAATCCTGGTCGTATATTATACACGAGTCTGGATTTCTCCGGCAATAATTTGATCGAAGTCTTGTCTGCATTTTTTATGATATTCTTGAGTGAATTCGTATCCACTTTCATGCATTATTTCCATAAGACTAAACAAAGAAGCAGATATGACATTCACTAAATCAAATGATGACAGCAACATTCAACAAGCGTCAACATATCAACAAATGCCATGTATACCATGAGAAGGAAAATGGAAAGAAAATGCTAGGAGCAAAGAACCTCTTTAAAATCGATTTTTCATTAAAATAAGATATTTTTTCGTGAAAAATTAAATCTTGTATGCACCACGAGCGTTAGTAGAATATCCTAACGCCCATCGGACAGCATTCATCTCTTGGATGAATGTTAACTTCCTGGCATTAGAATCTATAGAACGTACTTGGTAGATAGATAACTATTGTAATTTTCCGAGCGACGGGTAAATCACGGCGAAAAAAACTGTACATCAAACACCCCATGGTTCAAAACTTCCCAAACTTCCTCGAACTTCCTCGATCTTCCCCGAACTTCCTCAAACTTCCCTGAACTTCCTCAAACTTCCCTGAACTTCCTCAAACTTCTCCGAACTTCCCTGGACTTCCCAAACTTCCTCGAACTTCCCAAATTTCCTCTAACTTCCCAAACTTCCTCGAACTTCGCAAAACTTCCTCGAACTTCCTTGTGTCTGTACACACTAAACTTCCCACGTGATTTACCCCTCGTTTCCGAGCTACTCACACCAAGAATCCATAATAAATCCATGAAAATCTCAATATTGCAGTACTTCGATAAATTCAACAGTTGTCTGAGCAGAAACCTTCCTCATTTTGACATTATACAGGTAGGTACACCCAAAGCCGCAGTAATTTGATAAAAATAACCGTATTCCTAAACTAAATGTTACTTTGCCAGAAATAACGAGATCATTCATGCTTTCATAAACAAATAAACATTTGGTATCCCCATTCCAAGTTGCTTCGAAATCAGCATTTGATACCTAATTGAATGATCAATCGGGAACTGAGAGAAAAATTGAATTCCTTCGTATCAGTCAGAACATTTTACGTTCCAATTGTGGAGATACTCAGAAGAGAATGTAGACTTGACTTATATCTATCAAACATGGTATCTTCAGATTCCTATAATTATGATCTTCAACTGAATATGTAGAAATTCATAGGTTTTGAGAAAAGAATAGTTTGTGTAATTCTAGAAATTGCTGTCAGATGTCATGACCACCTCACAACCTCTTTCATTTTTCAGTATTACTTGTTGTTTGCCTTCTATTCTCAAGGGGCGTTGAATATCAAGTTATACATGGGTGTAATCTCGGGTGTAATTCGGTGTAATGGAGCAATTCCCCGAACAATTCTGATTGCTTCATAAGTAGAAAATCAATACCCTACTGAATAAATGATTGTGAACTTCATTGAATATGAATTATAAAAAGTGAATGACTCAATGAATAAATTATTACGAAAATATAGGGTCAAATTTGAGAGAAGCAGTTCAATGGTGAATAAAATAAGTTAACTATGTATGTATATATGAGTTATTCACTAGTTTGATAGTATTCTCCGATGAATCGAATACACACAATGAAACAGGAAATCGCTTTCAATTCATTTGAATATGTGAAAAGCTGATATAATTCAATTAGAATATGATACCTACCTAGTTACATAAACGAATGTATAATTATGATATGATAATGTGGGATCACAAATGTGAATCGGAAGAATCAACCAAGTTGTGAGAAGTGAAAAATAATGAAGGAAATCGAAACTTTTATACTTACCTTCATCTACATCAGTAACATCTTGGATATTCTTCGCATACCCACTTTAGAGGGTATAAGGTCCATGGTAAATCAGACACTTATATAGTCTATGTCTCCGGGAAAGTACTATTTTTCAAAAAGATAGACGAGGACTGATTTCAGCAGATGATTTCTTTTGACATTATTCCATGACAAATTCCTAATTCTGGACATGTCTCTATAAAAATGAATACTTTTTGCAGAATAACTTAAAGATGTAGCAAATTTTTAGAAATACACATTCTCAAAAACATTTTGTAACGATGTCCAGGTTTTGTCTACCCAATTTTAGAATGCGACTTTCCCTATAAAAGTGTCCAATTCGATCAATCTCGTAGATACCGGGTGACCACGAATCTTTCAACCAGCCTCATGACTTCTAAAATTACTGGTGCATCAGAATAAGATTTGGTATTGGCAAATGCTCGGGCAAATGATATGTGAAGACGACAGCATTTCGCGTATATTTCACTTTTTGCCGCTTTAAATATTTCCGAATATTTTCAATATAGAACATCTTCGGGAACGACCTATGAATTGTATATTTTTTTTCCAATTGTTTTTATTTTTTATTTTGGATCCGAATGTGACAATTCCGAAAGTTTTTACGCCTGCTCAATTTTTTTAGAATTACTTTTGATATTGCATAAAATTGAGAAACATTTACAGTTCGCTCATAAAGCTTATTTACCTGTCATTATCTGAATTTGTGTTTTGTATCAAAAAGAAGACTTCATGAGATTAACTGCAGTATATTATCGAGATATTATGCATAATGCGGCTATCCACATGGCAGAATTGAAGATAGTTGATGAATTAGTATACACTATTTTCCTCAGTTTTTCCTCAGTAACATTCATTCCACATGGTGTTCTTTGGGAAATGAAACACTCACTCAGGTGAAATAACCTTTATGAGCGTACAGTAAAAACGAGTAAAGTTACTCGATTTTATGCAATATTGAAAGTGACTCCAAGAAAATTGAGTAGTCGTGAGTATAATCTTTCAAAAATATCACACTCGTTTCCAGAATTATCTCAGGAATCCCAAAATGTGGGGTTTTCCATTGAAAACTTCGAAACTTGAGTAATTTTCGGGAAAACCCTCGGGAAAACCGGAAGTGACCAGGAAGTGAAAAATATGCGGAGTTTTTCTCCTCCCATACCAATCACCAGTACCAAATTCCATTCTGGACACTTGATATTACAAAAGTAACTAGTTGTCTGAAATAAATATTCGTTGATTTTTGGTATATACTAGACATAGCAGAATAATGTAAGGGAAAATCATATACAGGGTGTCCCAAAATTATATAGAAAGATTTCAGCCAGATTCTAGGAACCAAAATAGTAAAAGAGGTCATATGAATAAGCCCAGAAATAACTCCCTATAAAGTAATAGCAGTCATAGCGACCTGAAAGAGGGCCCGAGATCATGTTTTTTTACTGAATTCTCAACATGTATATTACTTTTTGTGTCCTATTTGAAAATGTTAAGAATTTTCCGAAATGTTGATCAGGAGCATGGGAAATAGGTGAAGCTTGGAACTTTTCTTCCCCCAACTCTTTTTCTCTGCAATTCTCGGCAGTTTGATCAGGAAATATGAAAATATCATAATTTTTACCAAGAAATGATTGTCTTGTTCAGTTTCGATAGCTCTCACAATTTTCGAGATAAATCGATTTCAAAAGTCTGCTGGGTAATAAAAATAGTGATTTTTTTCAATTAGATAACTACCATAATATTTTTCGAATTATTCTTTTTATTGTACCTCTCATATTTTGAGTGGAAAATCACAAGTAGTTTTGAAAAAAGGGTATTTTCTATCGAAAAATAATTCTCACGCTATTATAAGGAGAAAGCACTATTTTTGTTACGCAGTAGACATTTAAAATCGTATTATCTCGAAAATGGTGAGTGCTATCGAAACTTAACAGAATTATAATTTTCAAGTAAAAACTATGATATTTTCATATTTCCTAGTCAAACTACCGACAGAGTTGTGGGGAGAAATGCCCCTAGCCCCACCTATTTTTCACGCTCCTAATCAAATTTTCGGAAAATTTTAAACATTCTCAAAATGGTTATGAAAAATAATATACATATGCGAAACTCCGTTATCTCAACACAGAGTGTTTCGGAAATATATTCAAAAAACCATCATCTCGGAACTTCTTTCGGATAGCTATTACTCCCCATTTCTGGGTTCATATTATTTAAATGAACTTTTTTTACTATTCCTGTTCCTAGAATCTGTGGTAAAGAAATCTTGCTATATAATTTCGGGACACCCTGTATACTGTTAATTCAAAGTGAACATTGAAATAACCATGAAATAAAAAATTATGATACTTCTGGAAGTGAAAGAGATTTTCTGTCAAGAGCGTATCGAACAAGGTTGAATATCACCTCGAATGTTACCCTAACTCTCATAGTTACAGTGATTTTCGTTAATTTACTATTATATTGAATTTTCACCAGAATTTTCATATTGAGTATAAACTCGTCTTTCATAATACATGATAAGAAACACAAATATTTTATAAATTGTTATTTTGTTCCGTTTTGCTCTGTATCGTTCGAAATATTGCTTATATTTTCCCGATATTTTTCTATATCAAACCATTATCATAAAATGAGAATTAAAATTTTGTTGAATCGACGAATTTGAATGAGGAAGAAGTTCTGTCAATTTTGAAAAATTATTAGAGAAAATTGTAATGATGAAATAAAAAGAATCAGTAGATTTGACATAATATTTATTACATATAAGTAATTCGTTTGTTGTAGCTCGTGAAAAATGTACACAAAAATAATACAGAAATAAAAAGAAAATAAATATATCTATATACAAGAATGTACAAAAATAATACAAAACAATTTTCATAATAATTACACATCGACTTTGAAGTAATCGTCAAGAAGTCTTTTTTAGTAACCTAGTCAGTCATATTAAGTTATCACACAAGATAGGCCTGGCCTCTATTGTTTACCCCAGCCTGCATCATGATCTGCTGATGCCTCCATGGAGGCCCTCGCCTCCCGGAACCACCCCTTTCCAGAGTGCTGTAGTCGGAGTCGATGCTGGAATAGATGTGGTCCGATATCGGCCTTGGCTCCTGGACCCGCCTATTTGGCCTTGGGGAGGGGGTGGCAGTTGTAGCCGACGAATAATTCGCGTCGTCTATCTCCTGGGGCACCCCGGAAGAATAAGCTGGTGGCAGCATCTGCATTCCAGGACTCGGCGGAGCCTGAGTACGGATCTTATCAGGATAAGTATGATGGCTATGGTGAGTGCCGTTGGGCACGACCCTAGCGTCGATGGTGTAGTTGTTGATGTTCCTCCTATAGTTGGCGTTGATCTTCTCTCTGGGCTCCACCGATGGCATGGCGTACTTCAGCTTCTCCCAGAACCTCTTTTCTCCCCACTTGATCCGCTCAGCAGTTTTGAGGTACAGTTTGAGCTCTGGATCGAGCTCCATCTCAGGAATGGTATTTTCCTCTAATATCAGCAGTTTGAACACTCGACCTTTCAAAGCTTCGTGCAAGGCTTGTCGGAGTTCGAATCGTGCCCACTCAGTCTGTAGGAAATTCCTCGTAAGAACTAGTATCACTCTTCTGCTGGCTTCTGCCGCTTCTAACACAGCCGGGGCAGCGTGCTGGATGTACGCGGTATGAGGCAAGTCTCTATAGTGTAAACACAACTGATACATCGGCTCCAACTCGGCAGCTAGAGCTTGTACCACCCATTCTTCGTCTTTCGGGCTGTAGCACACGAACCCGTCGTAGAGCTTGTCTCTTTCCTCGTATTGTTTCGCGGCGTCAGCACGAAAGCTACACAGACGCACCCCGTACCGAGAGTACAGCCATACTCTGACCGGGTCTCTGAAGATAAACCACATCACAATGGCGAGTAATACAAGTATTACAATGCACATAGTCACTACGACCATCGGCCAATAGTCCGACACTAACATACTGTCTATCACGGAACTGCCCGCATAATAATCACTGCATGTCGTGCTGTTGAAATCTAGCTCTCGTTTTTGCGGAGGTTTCGAGTCCGGATTGTAACACATCATGTCGGCACTGTCCACTACTTTAACCGCGTTGTCTGCTACCCACGCTGTAAGGCCTTGCAAGAATTTGCATCGGCAAGACCACTGGTTGTTGCTCAACCTAACTTCGTTCAGGCGAGTGTTCGATGAAAGCTGCCATACAGGAAAAGTCACCAATTTATTTCCATCTAGTCGTAATAATTCCAAGGAAGTTAATGGCTCGAGGGTGTTGTTTCCAATCGTCGAGATGAGGTTATCTTGCAGGAACAATTCTTTGAGATTCGATAATTGTTCGAACTCATAACCGACCAATGCCCTTATTTTATTATTTTCTAGATGCAAAGTCTGCAAGTTGTTCAGTCCATTGAATGTGCTATTCTGTATAGTTTCAATGTTGCTGTTATTGACAAAGAGTATTTTCATGTTCTTTCTGCCAATAAACACATGATTTTGGAGTTCTTTGATATTGTTGCCATCTAAGCACAATTCAGTGACATCCATCGGTATTTTATGTGGAAGATCCTCGAGATCTTGCCGTGAGCAGTCAACTACATTCGTATTCCAAGTTTGATCGTGGTAACAGGAACAATTGTTCGGACAAGTCATCTCGCAGTCGCATGCATCAAAATCACAGCAATGACACAGCGCAAAACAGTGAGTTTCGTAAGGACAAAGGAAATCACTTTGTTTGGCTTGATTCAAAGGTTTATGTGACATACCTCTGTTGTGTGTCATTTCGCAAACTACGTTGTCCAAGTCCATCACACGGGGATACTGACGGGAAGATGACATATTGTTAATGAGTTGGAGCCACTCCATGGTGCAATCACAATGAAAGGGGTTGCCACCCAAGTAGACTTCTGGTAGAGACCGGTTCAGAGGCATAAACGGGGACAGCCGGAGCGAACTAAGATCCAAGTTTTTCAGGTCATTAGCATACATATCGACTCGAACTAAGTTGGTCTTATCTAAGAACGTATTAGGTTGTACAGTTTTAATAAAATTGTTATTGATGAATAAGAGTTCGATAGTATTGGGCACTGACATGGGATTGATTTCCGTTATTCGATTATGACTAGCATCAACCGTTTTCACTTTGATTTCATCCTGGAGTTTGTAATAGTTTGCCATATGTTCTATGAAGTTTCCGTGTACGTCCAGCCATTTGAGGTTGCTAGGTATAAACGCGTAGTCGAACCACACCAAATGATTTTCCGATAAGTTCAACCACAACAAAGTGGCGAGCGTCGCGAACACACCGTTAATGTCCGTTAAAAAATTTTCGTCCAAGCGTATGGCTTCAATTTGTATATTGCGTTCGAATGTCCCGATTTCGATATTCTGAATTTTGTTTTTCGCGAGATTCAACACTTGCAAGCTGGTCAGGTCCCACAACATTCCACGAGACAAGTTGCCAATATTGTTGTCGATCAGTCTCAAACCAGTGAGTTGATTTAAATTCTTGAACGAGCCATTTCTGAATTCTGAAATTTGATTCTCTCCCAGATCGAGAGTTTTGAGAAAAGTGAGTTCATGCACAGCGTCGGGAACTTCAGAGAGAGCATTAGAACTCAAATCCAGCTCTTTGAGAGCCGAACAATTGACGAAGGCTTTGGAGTCTATGTTCACAATCAGATTATTATTCAGGGTGAGCTTGCTGAGAACAAAGAGCCCATTGAATAGCATAGGGCCGATCGTGTTCAGCCTGTTCTCAGCAAGATTAAGAGTATGTAGATTGTATAAGGGCAAGAAAGCGTTGTCGTCAATGAATCCGATAGAGTTGTTCTTCAAATCCAAGATCTGTAGAAAGAAAAGATCTTTGAAGGTTCGGCTATCGATGCGCATCAGAGCATTATGTGACAGATTGAGAACGATTAGGCGAATTAGTCCAGTAAATGTTCCTGAATCTATGTGATTACTGGTTAGCTGATTGCCTGATAAGTCGAGAACCAGCAACTGCTCAAGTCTGTGGAATAGTCCTTTCGCCAATGAGAACAGAGAGTTATTTTGTAAATGAATCTCCTTGAGTTCTGGAGTGCCCGAGAATAATCCTTGTGGCAATGTACTGATTTTGTTATTCGCTAAGTTGATGATTCTGAGTGACACTAATCCAGCAAGTGCTTCTCCAGATATCTCACTAATGTTATTGTATTGCAAATATAAATGCTGTAATCTTCTCAATCGGGAGAATCCAGATTCCTCAGACAAAGTTCTCAAATCGTTATATGACAAATCCAGATTCTGCAAATCGCTGCTACTGCAATCTTGAACATTGAGACCAATTCTTTCAGAGTGCCTGAATCGATTTCTCGTCAAATTCAGAGTCTGCAGGTTGGCTGGAGAACAGAACACTCCGTCAGGAATCGCTCTGATATTGTTATCTGCCAAGTCCAAAATTTGTAGTTCCTTCAGTCCTTGCAAACTGTGTCGAGTCATATCCAAGCTTTTTGTAGGACCCCATTCAGCATTGAAAGTATTTATAGCAAGTTTCTTCACGTTATAAAGACCATCGAAGGAGTTCGGATGGATGTTCAGTAGTTTGCAGTTGTTAATCTGAAACTCCTCGAGTTCATGAAGTCGATGGAGACCTTGCGTCGGAAGCACACTTTCCATGAACAAAACATCACTGCAGAATATTTTCAGCTTGGAAGTCACTTCAGCAGGTAGAGATGATATATTCGCCGATTCCTCCAAAGTTTTCACTCTGCAGGTAACAGATAGCTTCGAAGAGGAAGAATCCGTGTTGTCTGGTAACCAAGAACACTGCTCAGGACCGTCGAATCTAGCTGCCGAAACTGCCCAAAAGGAGAACAGTACACTCAAAGCTTGCGCGTACATTTCGGCTAAACTTTGTTTTGGTTCACTAAACTGAGTACATGTCAACAAAATCTGTAACACATTTCACTGAGATTTTGTTGGTTTTTCGGTCGGAATTTACTTCAACATTTTTATGAGATTGACGATACTTGGTCGCGAACTCGGTACATTCTTTCACACGGAGCAACAAAGTAGCGTGACCGCACGCTGCAATGTCTGTCGCTGTACTAAACGCTCTTTCGCGCTGACTGCGGTATAAACTGAATAACGCTCGCAGAGTCGCAGTCAAAGATCACGAAGACTCACACGCAAGCGCTGGCGTAGTTCTTGGTGCTTCAGTTCTGTAGAGGGCGCCAGCTGACGGCAGCGCGTCGATGAATTCGCAAATGAGTTATTTTCACTTTACCTGCCTTACTTGCACTTTCAGAGTTCGAGGAGATATGGAACGATGGGCGAAAATGAGTTTTGGAATCTTAATGCACTGATAATATCTCGGTGAAGGGAGATTTTTGCCGAGTAAGGGGATGTCGGAAAAGGTTTTCTTAGTGTTGAAGAGAAATTCTCCGGAGAATCAGGAATGGAGAATATTTCAGCTGACTTATATCATAATAAGAATAAGGATGATTTGGAAATCAAGAGCTTCAGGTCGCTTCAGACGTGCAGGTTATTCAAATGCTTAGTTAAACATAGATTCATCATTCATTATTTCACATAATACTGAGATATATTTGTATTAGCCAGTGTGAAAACTCAATGGTATTAGTTACTTTCTTTCCTGTTCTAGTTCCGAATAAATGGATGACAGAGGTATACCCGAGGGTATACCTATTTTCAATTAGCGTAAAAGTATAGTTTTTCAGTATCAAATGACTTGATCGACAATTCTATAAGTTTTTTGAGTAAAAAAAACAGTCTATTTTTGCAAAACAAAATCTGCATATTATTCTATGAATCATGTGCGGATACATATTCAATAACATTCGCTTATTTTGAAATGATCTTGTTCAATGAATTTCCCAATGAACTCATGATGTTTATGGCATTATGATAAATAATATGAATAGGAATAATTGGTATTTCGAATTTTGAAAACTATCGATATTTATTTATGGATAACGTTTTGGCACGAACCTCTTCTGTAAATATAAATGAATCGATAGATTTGTGGTACATTTTAATAAATATTTGAACAATAATATAGATAATGGAAATGTAAACAAATATATGACCTTACATATAGCTTCAAATGAAATTCGATTTCGATGACACAACGACACTATGTTCGAATATTTCGAATTTGTTGATTCTCCAAATAATATCATCAATGACACAAAAGGTGCCACTCTATAAATATTTATACATGACAAAGTTAGGTGCTCCGGAAAGAGGTATTGTAAAAGTTAATATTTACAAAATGACCTTCCCCAACAGAATAACGTTATATACAATGTATCCTTCTAGAAATATTTGCTTGGAACAGATAATAGTTTTTTGGTAATCATGACGCGGTTATTTGAAAGGGTTTACGAATGAAAACTGCAGTGGGGAATTGTACCGATATGAAACATTGGTTAGGATTAAACGTCACATCCTAACTTCATTTGATAATTTGCTTTATTGTCAGAAGAAACAAACATTCCATCATCCTGAGAGAGTACAGTTTTGCCCATGCAGTGAAAAAAATAGCGTTTAGTAAAATTACCGCCATTCACTATATATATTCATCTAATAATACAACTACAAAATTGTATAATTCTATACTATATCAAATATCACCTTTTCAGAATAGTATGATACTGTTTTGTTGTGGCATTATTTGATGAATGTAGTGACTGGCGCTTATTTTGATGAACGTTTGGTATTCACTATACCGACTATACATCTGAGTGTGCTACAAAGTCCACTTTTTATTGGTTTCTGCAGTAACTTTTGTTATTGTTATGATTATCCTCTCTAGGTACGCAAGATGTTCTCCGAGCATTATAGGAGTTTCCTTTCGTACGCTTCAAGAGATGAAAAAAATGTGTTGTGATGAGTATATTTGCAGATTCATATGCATATTATTTTACTTAGTTCCGGCTGATTCTTCATTTTCATAGATCAGAGTGGGAAATGTTGATTTCAGATCAATATTATATATAGAATATCAATTCCTAACATTTACGTCCCCAATCATATGTAGACGATCATGTAATATGGAACATAATTATAGAGACAAAAATTATATCAGAAGTATAATAAGTAGATATGTTCAGTAGGTAAATTTAATTAATCTATGACACAACTAATTGTCTACGAATTTTTATACATACCTCTGTTTCATAGAAGAGCAACCATATTCATATATACGGGGTTTCCCGGAATTAGCCTGGCAAACTAAACCGGCGGTTTCTATACGACAGAAAATAGGAAAAAAAATCAAATGAACACTAATTATAGGAAATGATTTAAAGGGGCTCCTGAAGATGATATTTCTTGAATATTTCCGAAATGTCACGTGAAAAAATGATGCAATTTGGCACAAGAACTAAACTTTTCATGCCCAATGCAGTGGAAATGAAATCATTCCCAGATTTCATTCAGGAGTGATAATACATTGAATAGTGCTCAATCTATTTTGTATGCATATTTTTCGACAACTTAATCTCGGATTATGAAAATCCAAACCTCTTCACAGAAAAAATGTTCTGTTTTCCGTATTGATGAGATGTATAATTCACTAGTAATCGATTTAAAAATACTGTTACATCTCAGAATTCACGCGCAACATTGCAATCAATCGCAGTGAATAGGGAAAAATAATAAAAAACATGAAAATTGAAGTAGTTTTTCATCATTTTCTAATTCTCCCCCTTCTATGAAATTGTTTGGTGGAAATAAAGAAGGTGAAGGTAACAATATTTTTAGATTGATTTCACTCGAAAATGATAAATCCATCGATAATTGACCTAATCTGACTCTAACGATGTTGAATATCAAAACAGATTCACGAAATTTTGCCATACAGAGTGTTGTTTTCTGTTTTTCCTTTAGACAGACCTCGTTCAAAGATTAAGACTAGATGAAAATTTCGCCAAAATCAGGATAACGTCCTGTATCTCAGTTAAAAAATACGGTAAACACATCGATGTGGGGTAATTTGAATCCTTCAAAGTGTCCTCTAACTGCAAGTATCTTATGTACATTTGAGTCTGAAACACCCTGTATACTCCTGAATGAAATTTTGAAATGATTCCAACCTTCAATGCATTGGGCATGGAGAGTTCATTCCTTGTTCCAAAATGCATCATTTTATCACATGACGTTTCTAAAACATTCAAGAAATATCATCTTCAGGAGTCCCTTCTCAGGAGGGCGTAGCTCCCTTAGGAGACATTTCTCGACTCATGTTCATTAAAATTTTGCTTCCCATTTTTGGTCGTAGAAGACGCATGTGAAGTTTGGCAGACTAATTTCGGGACACCTTGTATTTATTCATTTATATAGAGAAAGAGAAAAAAAGAAAAAGAAAAAGACAAAGAGAGAGAGAGGCAGAGAAAGAATACGAGTCAAGATTCTGATGTTCAATTCGAAATCGGTTGGGGCCAGAGATTATTATTTCTTCATAGGAATTAAACCCAAAACAAAACAAAGAAAGATTATCACCGCCCTGTTTTAATCTTTCTGGCATTGTTGTGAAGGCACCTCAGTTAAGCACAAGAGGCTTTATTCTCAGATTATGTCAATAATGATATACAACGTCAAGGTGAGTCACAGGCAAGAGAAAGAAAATCTAAATCGTAGAAGAAGCGATTGAAGATGATTATTCCTATAGAGGTGGAAATAGTCGACAAAAGAGAATGATTCTAACTATAATTCACTAACAAATTATTCGGGGCAAACTATCCCAATCAGATAACGATAACCAGGAATTTGAAAATTCAATACAGATAAAGATATATCAGAATCACATTATTGGTACTATTAAAATAAAATTTTGCAGCAGTCCTAGACTTATATTGAAAATTTCTAATGATTTCAATACCTCTAGTTCTTGAATATTATGCTTTTTGAATTTACTTGTTGGAAATCCATGGCAAATGTAAAAACTTCACAAACGCGATAAGATTTCCATTTTGTGGAAATCTTATCGTTTGTGAAGTTTTTACTTGTGAATATCATGATTACTAAATATAACCCTTTATTATTTACACTAGTGTGAATACTCAATGATACACTGAGGGAAAAAATTTGTAGCCGTTACTAAAAAATTAGTAACTACAGAAAAATTTTTTAGTTCGATAGGGGACAGCAAGCATTAGTTGTTGTCATAACTAATTCTGTTTTTCTGGAAACGCCTATTTGCCTCTAATGAAAAGTTTAGTTGAGTCATCTACGCCGTTGTTGTGGTAACTAATAAGCCTTTTTAAGGAATAATACCAAGTTTTATTTGCCACAATCAAGATACATAGTTATGACAATTAGATTGTTAGTACTGTTTCAATATATGTTTGTTATCACAACAAATTATCCCAGTTGGGGCAATTACTCATTTCTTCTGACTTCAATAGTGAGTGTGTTGTTGCAAATTATATATTTAATTGTGACTGAAATGGAATCTAGTTACTATTAAAAGGGATTTAGTAACGTTTGAAATATAATTTAGTTATTCTGGTAACTTAATAGTTTTATATCAATTAAAATCAAAGCCCCATTCTAATAATAACAGATTGTATGCCATTTTCCTTCCAATTTCCAATGGAATCGTGAACAGGAATATACCACACACCGTAAGTGCCACAGGCCACAGCTCAGCAAAAAGATAGGGAATTCTAAATATACACCGTGTACACATGACGTCGGTTGGACGTTTCTCATCGTCGCCCGTCATAAACTGAACTGAATTGTGAATAGGTACCTAAACCTGATAACTAGTGACGCACAGATAACGATGGTAAACTGCGAATTATTATTTTGCCAACCAAATGCCAAATGGCTCAGCGCGAAGTGCAAAAAAACACAAAACAGTGATTTGAAAACACACAGAGCAGTGAACCAGCAAGAACACGACGCTCCCGGCTACACTAG